AAAGTATAATTTTTATTTATATCATATTTATTGTATATTGTCTATCTCTACCTGTTAGCATATAGACTCTTAAGAAGGCAGAGATCCTGGTGTGTGTGTTTTTCTCTGAGCATTAATACAGTCCTTGGTACACTGTGTACACTCAATAAATATGTGGCTCAGTAAGTTTATTATTTATTGATTCATATATTACCGAAGGACAGAGAAAATATCATATACCTCTTTCCCATAGAGATACTTACAAGCAATCAGGGAGTTAGACAACAGATGCAAATTATTTGTTTAAAAGTCAAGAGAATATGTAAAAATAAGAAGCTTAGCCAGGACTAGTTTAGTTGCAAGGGAAAGAAACCCACTCAAATTAGCATAAGGGATAAAAACGAGGGATTCACTTGTTCACAAAACTGGGCAGCTCAGAAGTAAACCTAGCTCCAGGCACGCTGGATGTAGGGGGCTTACGGTTGTCTTCAGAACTTATTGATTTCTCCCTTCATTGCTCAAATCTACTTTCCTCTGAAAGGGCTTGGGTCTCAGGCAGGTTTTCTCCACATGGAAGTCCTGGAAGCTACAGTGCAGATTCTCCAGGTTGAGTGAGAGCCTAGAATTCACTCTGGCCTGGCCCTGGGTTACCCTCGCTGGGGCTAAGGTGTGTGGTGTTCACATTGCTCTGGTCTGGGCCACAGGCACAGCCCCCAAAACACTTATACTGAAAGTGGGAGGAGGAAAAGATGAAATTAATTATAGAATTGAGCCAAACCAATCTGTGTAAAGTGATAGAACTGAATAGCTGGTATTAGAAGAATATGGCACTCTGACCCCTAGTGGTTAGTTTACATGGAGAAAATTCAGCATTAGTCCAAAGGCAACAGCACGTGGATTTCCCATCATCTTTTTATATGATCGTTTTTCAATTTATTTAAAAACATCAGGGTCTTTCCTTTCTGTCCTCTACGTTGAACCTTTCACCCGTTGTGGGCAAATTTTCTTTTGACATAGTTCTTGCATCCCTTTCCCCCCCTCATCTCTACAGTCACCATCTTTCTTCTTGGCTTCATACTTAGACTACTGTGATAGTATCCTAACTTATTTCCTTATCTTATGTACTTTATGGAAACCAAAACCTGAAAAAATTTTCTAAAACACTGCTTTAGTTGTATGGTGTCCAGGTGGGAAATTAACTGTGACAATTTATCAAATGCAATCAAAATTCCTGGGTCTAGCTTTAACTGCCATGTGTCTCTTCATCCTTTTGGCTTGAGAAAATGTAGTTAGCTTTGTGTCACACGCAAGGGGAAGCTAACATAAAAAATAGTATATTTCCATAATCCATGCTGACCTGTTGAAGTTTAAAAATTGAGAACACTTACTACTTTTACTTTTCTTATCTCTTATATAGGAAGAGAGTAATCCATTTTAAATTTCATTCTATTAAACTTCTCTAATATTCTAAACAGAAAATTTCATGTATGTTTCTTATCATTTTACAGAGTAAGTTAAGTGTATAATTTATTTCTCATAAAAAGATATTGATTGGGGCAAATTTATATGTACACTGGCTAATTGTTCAGATCATAAGCTAAATCTAAAATATGTGTTCCTAAATTTTTATAATTTTCATATTTTATTCTTTCTTTCTTAGTTAGTGGCTGAGATAGTAAGCACTCTCTAACTTCATTATTGCTTACATTTTCTCTTCAGTTTTCATAAAGACTAACATAAAAACTGAATTGATCAGTCTGAAGGCTTATAGATTTTATTCCACATTCCCCTTATCTTTATCTCCAATTTTTAAATTAAATTTAATTTTTTTCATTTTAATGAAAGCATAGTTTCTTCCTTCTGAAGTATTCACATAGAATTGTTAAAAAAAAAAAAGCTGAAGTCAGACTGCCTAAGCTCCAGTTTTCTCCTCTGTAAAAAGAGGATAATAAAATTATAATAGTATTCCTAATTTATCAGATTACTTAGAGAGTTATTGTGATAAATTTGATAATTCACATAGAGAGCTTAATGTGGTTACTGACACACGAGTCCTCAAAAATGTTAACTTTTACTATTATTTTTACACGTTCGCTTGCATTTTTAGTGTCTTTGCATACACCAACTGGTTTGTTTACCACCAAATGTTTATAAAACATTTAGTATTATATTGTATGCTGAATAAAACCCAATAACATCATGGAGTGCCTATTCTTGTGAAGTTTACAATCTAATTTGAGAGACAAACAATAAAGACTTAAAATTTATAAACAAAATGTGATATAAACATACAATGGAATATTATTCAACCTTAAAAAGGAAGTCTGACATACTACACATGGATGAACCTGAAAGACATTATGCTAAGTGAAATACGCCAGTTACCAAAGGATAAATCTTGTATAATTCCACTTATATGAGGTACCTAAAGTAGTCAAAATCGTACAGACAGAAACTAGAATGGTGGTTGCCAGTGGTCAGGGAAGGGAGAGGCAAAGGTGAGTTCTTTAACCCGTAGAGATTTAGTTTGGAAGATGAAAAAGTTCTGGAGAGGAATGGTGGTGATCGTTACACAAAAAATGTGAATGTATTCAATGCTCCTGAACTGTACACTTAGAAATGATTAAAATGGTAAATTTTATATTATGTATCTTTTACCACAATAAAAAAAGATTTTAAATTTAAATCTTCATGGAAGGGAAAAATTAAAGTTCAACACCACAATGTAACAGATAAACCAGTAAATTATAAATTATTAAATGCCATTTTAATTTTATTAATAAAATGTATCCATTTATATTTTTTTATAAATAATACATTTTCACGGCTCAAAAATAAAAGGTACAAAGTGGTATACAGGGAGAAGTAAATCTTCCTTTAGAGATTCAGTTCCTTTTCCCAGAGACAACCCCATTACCAGTTACTTACATACTTGTATCCTACTAGCGATACTATCTGTCTATCTATCTATCTCCTGATAGCTACACTCACACACTGTATACACTATGTTCAAACTGTCTTTTTCCACTTGAGAACGTCTTGGATAGCACATTAACTGAAACTTGTTCTTTTTAAACAGCTGTATAGATACCATAAATATATTTAACCAATCTCTTATTGAGAAGCCAAGAAGAGTTACCATTCTTTTACTATTTCAAATAATGTTTCAAAGAATAAACTAGCACATATGTCATTTTGTATAACTGTGAGCATTTCTGCAAGATAAATTCCTAAAGGGAGAGTCACTGGCTTTTCAAATGATTCAGATTAAAAGTGCCTTCAGACTTCACCAAAGTGGTATTTAGTGTTAGTTGCTTTATCCCCAAACTTGAAAATATCCTTGTATCCTTTTCTTTGGAGCCCATCAGTTATGCAGTCTTGCTGATTTTATCTCCCTGTATCTATTCTGTCCCCCCTTTCCATTTCCCATTCGTCATAGCCAACAACTCAATTTAGGCTTTCATTATTTCTTCATGTCTGAAGTGTTGTCCAGGATCCATCCTCCTGAGAGAACAACCTGCATATTTTCATGCTACCTAATACATCCAGGATTAAATCTAATGTTGCTATTTTAGCAAACAACGCTCACCTTAATCTGGTGCCTGCACTTTCCCTCTCCAGCTTTCTCTACCATCACCCAACTTTACACTTTTTGTTTTTATGATGTACAATAGTTTATAGTTTCAGGTCTCCATGCATTTGCTTTTACTGTCTCCCTGCTTGGAATATCTTTGTCCATTTCCCTTACTTCATCCACGTGGGAAGTGTTGACCTCTTCCTTAAAGAGGAGGAACCTCCCTTTTGTGCTCCACGGGTCTGCATTCATCTTCTATGGTGATTGCTATTAGTAGTGAAACTTTCCTTGAAGTAGGCTGAAATAGTGGTGGGAATGGTCTTTTTTTCCTTTCTAGCTCTAGCATGTAGAACAGTGTTTGAGGTCATGTGGTGTGCACTAAATAAAAATTTCTTTAACTGAACTTAACTAGATTTTTGGGGAAAGGGGTGGAGTCATTTGTTCATTCATATGTTTACTGAGTGGCTATTAGGTGCAAGATTATGTGTTAGGCAGTGGGATTAGAAATGAAGAAGATAACCCAGGGCCTACTTTTGAAAGAGATGGGGCAACATAAACATACAATTATCACTAGGGGAGGACTGCAGTGGACCCCAGGTCACAGTTTAGATTCTTTGATGGATATGTACGAGTATGAGCAAAGGGTGACATTTTAATTAGAGGGAATTGCACTAGGAAAAACATTTATAAAATAAGGCAATTGCTCCAAATCACTGTGAAACCCTAGAGTAAGACATAAAGCTCACGATTTCTGACTTCCTGTTTATGGCCCATGGTCTTCATCTTTTAAAGTGGAGATGCTTTTCTGGTGACCAGGAGGCCAGACAGTGTCTTGAGTAAAGAATAATAAAGTGAGATAACACATGTAAGACAACCAGGTCAGTGTCAGTATACTCAAGGAAAGTTCTTTTTCTCTGCTAAATGGCCTTCTAAGCAGTCAGAAAAACTTGCTTGTTGTTAAATGATTTATATTAAATTTAATCTACCAGTTGTTCTTTCTCCATCCTTTTCTTCTATTCTCTTCCCTAGTATGACCTCGTCTCATTAAAGGTTGAGGAAGCTAGCGAAATGTAATAAAAACAGAAGGTTTTTGGGGAGTCAGCTAGAACTGGATTCATAACAGAAGGCAGTCACTACTAGTGGAGTAACTTTGGGCAAGTACTTAAACTCCCAGATTATTCCTTTGTAAAATAAAATAATAAGTAGGTCGGGAGGAAATGTTTATGTATAACTCTTACTTAACAAAGTGCCCGACACATAGTAAGAGCGCAGAAGTTAGCTATTAAGCGATCCCAAGAACCCGATGCCTTGGGAGTGTCTTTTTGCTTCCGTAAGCAAAGGAAATGTAAGCGTAATCATTACTAAATTAAATTACACCAGAACTCGCACTTCGGCACTTACGTGATTGGATCTCTCCCGGCCACCGTCGCCGAGCATGCGTAAAAGAACGTGGCGGGACGTATGTGTCATGGCGAGCTCCATCTGAAGTCTCCGCAGGTTCGGGAGAGCAGCGTGTGCACCCTTTCACTTTGGACTAGTATGTTAATTCCTGACTACTGGGTAAGGGTGGCGGGTGGATCTGTGCGGGGCAGAGGGTGGCTGGAGCTCCTTTTATGGCGGAGCCTTGTTTCCCTAATGTCAGTCTTTTTCTGGCCGGTTGCTGGTTTGTTTCGCAGTTAACTTGCCAGCTGGGATGGGGGAACAGGGAGGCTGGTAGCACTGCCACAAGTGAGGACAGGGTCGTTGGCCTTGGATGCTGCAGGGCTGTAAGGAGTATTTAAGGGACCGCGTTTCTTATTGTCTAGTGTAGTTTCATTCGTTTCCCACTTTCTACATCAGTGAATTTGTGGCGCGGTAGGAGGCTTTCGCCAGTTATCCGGCTTTCACAGAGCAGTGTCTCATTAGCAATTTAAACTGAAGTTAGAAGAGCAGGTGTCTTATTTTTTCACTTTCCTTCTCGTTTACCCATAAAACCTCTCTCAGAATCTCGGGCGACGCGTGTCTTTCGGGTGGAAGGTAATCTGGATATCTACTTCACGGCCTTATTCCTTTTTTTGGGTATTTGTTGGTATTACTTGAATCACGCAGAGATGTTGTAGTGCTTGCTGGATAGTATTTATTGCCATGGCCAGGTGCTGGATCTGTCATGGCAAATATGGGAGAAGTCAACACGTCTGATTTAATCATAAGCACTTGGAAATAATGAGGAACATTATTAACCTTGCTGTATATGAAGCAGTTTTCTATAGAGCCTGATCACTTTTAGGTAGTTTTAAAGAGTCCTTGCTATGGGTTTGTGAACTTAACTGTGAATTTGCTTTTTCAAATGTTTTTGTTTTCCAGACTCATCTTTCCAAGAGGGTTTGAGACTAGTTGCAGATAATCAAGGTACTCATTTATTTTATTTTACTTATTTTTTATTTTTTAAAAGATTTTTATTAAAATGTAGCTAACATACAATGTTATATTAGTTTCAGGTGTCATTGTCATCATAGTTATTCAACAGTATCCACCTGGCACTATACATCGTTCTTACCGTAGTATTGATAATATTCCCTATGTCACAGTGATCACCATGATAAGTCCAGCAACTATTTAACACCGTACCACGCTATCATAATATTATTGACTATATTTCCTATGCTGTATATTACATCACCAAGACTTATTTGTTTTATACCTGGAAGTTTGAACTACTTATTCTCCTTTATCTTCTCCCCTTTTTAATTTTTCAGTTACAGTCAACATTCAATATTATTGGGTTGTCGGAAAAGTCATGACGCATTTTTGCAACAAGAAACATAGAAAAAATACGTCATGACTTTTCTGACAATCCAATATTTTATATTAATTTCAGGTGTACAGCATAGTGGTTAGATTTATATAATATACGAAGTGATATCCCTCCCTGACTAGTGTGTACCTGGCACTATACATAGTTATTACCATATTATTATTATTTTTTAGTCTTTTTATATATATTTTTTTTATTAGTTTCAAGTATACAAAACAATGTAATAATTAGACATTAACACCCCTCACAAACTGGTAATCCCCACAACCTACTTACTACCCCTGTGACATCATATACAGCTATTATAATACCATTCACTATATTCCTTATGCTGTACTTTATTTACATCCTGTGACTGTGTGTGTGTGTGTGTGTGTGTGTGTGTGTGTATATATATATATTTTTTTTTTAATTGCAGTTGACATTTCATATTATTCTACTTTAGCTTCAGGTGTACAGCACAGTGGTCAGACATCTACACAGTCTATGAAGTGATCCCCCTGATAAATCCAGTACCTATCTGTCACCCACATAATCTTTAC